GCATGTACAAAATAATAATGATGCATTTTAATCATTCTTCGTTGATACTTACTTTTATTGAAATTCCTCAGCCTATGTATTGTATTTAAAAAAAAAAAAAACTTTCATTACAATTCGCTAAGGTGAGAATCAAAATTTCTAAATTTTTGTGACAAATCAAAACTAATACTATCAGTTATTTCTTCTTTTCTGAAAATGTATTAAATTTAGTCAAAATATCCTCATATTTTGGTAAATTTTTACGAGAAAGTATCCTCTGGAAGCACTCATTTACACAGTTATTACTTCTCATACTGTTTTTGTGTTTCCTTAGAAATTTTTCATTTCTCTTAATGGAGCAGAATATTTTCATGCATCCTAATTTCATGCTTGAAGGAAATTTTAACAAATTTTTAACCATTTGAAATAAAAAAAAATGACCTTTTTTAAAATCTATTTATGTGTTTTTTTTTTTTTTTAGTCAGAATCATACATCATTTTTGAATTCAATTTTAAAATTTTCAAGTTTTATTTGTAATTTGAAATAAATGTTTATGTATCATTGTCAAATTTTTTGCTTTGTCAGTTATCGATGTTGTGCATTGAAAGATTTTTTTTTTCATGAAAAATCTTCTATTTCTTTCATTTCACATTTGCAATTAATTTCAAAGAAATATGAGTGAAAAAATGGAACAGTTGTAAGAGAATAAGCGAGAAGTGTTGAAATGATCGTTATTGAAATCATATCCGATCTATTTCGAAATCCAATCATTGAAATCTAACCATATCTTTTTTCTTTTGCAATAAAAAATTTGAAGTGTTAAAATAAATGTTAAAATGCATTATATGCAAATAAGAGATGATAAATTTTGCACATTCACGGAATTTTTAGACATTTGGCACGGCATTTTTACATATAATACACATATCATGTCTTCGTTATTTCTATCACGAATAAAATATTTGCAATACAAGAATAAATTTCACAGTGAATTTTGAAACAGAAAGAATAAATGCTTGTTTATTTAAATTTGTAACCTAGCAGCACTGATCGGTTAGAAAAAATTCTTTGTTGTATTTTAATTTTGTATATAATTAGCATTTTATAGTATGTTCAAGTATAACTATAAGACTGACTACATTTTACACTTAATTGTTAAATTTTAATATGCATTATACTTTTAAAATCAAAATACTTACATGGAAAAAAGCTTCTGCTTAATGATGTACATTTAATTAAAATAATGTGAAACTATATGAAAAAAAGTAATTATCGACTCTTAATTTCTTCACTTTTTTAGAAACTGCTGTCAATAAATATAAATAATAAAATTCAAAGTAAAGGAAAAGAAGTTATAATTTTAGGTTAAATCATATTTATTTTATGTTTTTTAATTTTTAGTTCATATGAGTTATATGTAGTACGTATAAGTTATTTCTTAATTATTAAGTTGCATGTAGTAATTCATGTAAGTTACTGTGCAGTATATAATAAAGTATTTGTCTTTGTGTCATTGAAATGTTAAATTAATGAAAATCTGAATATATACTTTTAATTACTAGAAAATTGGGAAACATCGAAATATATGCCTAAAATTATGAACATGTTTATTTCATGATGAAATTGTTTGAAGCAATTCGGCTAACAAATGTTAACGATTCGATATTTCAAACAATTTAATTCTTTGCTTAAATAACACAAAATTCAGCTTGAATTAAAATTTATTTAATTCTTTTGCTATATCCGAAAAAAAAAAACATAATATTTTGTGTTATTGATATTATTTATCATTTTTCAACATTCGTTTGTTTATTTCCTTCTACGCATATTTAATATTTGCATAAAATGATTGGATATGTAAATAATGCTATTGCAGTATGAAAAATATAAATATTTGTTAAAGTAATAAACAAAGTGAAAAAGAAAAAAAGGAGTGAATGAAAAGAAAAAAGAAAAAGTAAGGATTTCCTACTTTATCACTTCCTTGTCTTTTATCATTTATTTCAATGATACATTCATTACCTGTTACCTTTCTGATTTCATCAATTAACTTAATTTTTATATCTAAATCTCCAAATTTTATTTAAATTTTGTTGATTGGTGATAGAGTAAATTTCTTTCACACCAAAAATAACAAGTATTTTTTTGACAAAATGTTAATGTTACATACATCATCCATAAATATTTTTGTACAAATGTTTACAAATAGTACGAATAAAATACCACTGATAAACAAGTTACACAATGTTATCAAACAGATTTTTCTCGTTTTTTTTTTCGCTGGATCATGGGGGGTTTTTTTTTTATACCTTCGAGGCATTTTAATTTTTCTCTTGATAAGTACTTAAACTCTTTTTTAACGGATATTTCTATCATCCTAAAATTTTACTTAAAAGTAATATAATCTTGGGATAATAATCCTTTGTATATTCTTCACAATCACAACATGCTAATCAAAATAGCGGTATGCTTTTTATTTATTTTTCATTTTCCGCAATGATTATTCATTCAGCTTATAGTGTTGGTGAAAATTGTTTTTAATTTTTTTTTTTTGAAAATATTATCATTATTGCTTGCAAATTTGCCTTTACTGCAATAAGTTATAAGAAACAGTTATTATTTAAAAAATTTCCTTGACCTATTTCTTATTTCAGAAATTTAATTTTTTTTTTGTAATAGGAATTTCTCATTAAAATATAAATCTACAGGATAATGATTAACACTTCCATTATTTGATGATCAGATTACATTTATTTTGTAAATTTCTCACAACTATTGGTAATTTCAAAAATTTTATGAATGAATTATGCTGATAAAATACTCCTCTGATTTGTTATGCGTACATTTTCTTCAGATATTATTGATGATAATATTCGTGCAATCTTTACCATGCTCAGCCGGCGGTTGTTGTTGTGGAGGACCGGCACCAGCCGGACCAATGTTACCATTTTTACCTTTCCCCGGCTTTGGAGAATTTGGTCAATTTCTTTTGCCAAAACCTTCATGCTGCGGCAATTATTTTGCTGAACCAAAAGAGGAATGCTGTAAATGTGAAGGATGTGGGGGCGGATGCGGATGTGGATGCAAACCGAGGTAAATATGCATTATCGAAATCATAAAATTAAGCACTTAAATAAGCTATCGGATGCGATCAATTAGGTTTTGTTCTATTTTAATTTATTTAATAAATTTACAATACAAAATTTAGAAAATCCAAACTGTATTCGAAATTAGAAAGTTCATAATTCGAACAATAAATAATGTGCACCGTTTGCTGCACACCATTTGAGTAAATTCCACCAATTTCTTTAATGATTTTTATGCATTATTTTCCATTGAGTGAATCGTATTAATCAAATGAAATTAAGGTATTGTAATAATCTTAAATCGAAAAATATGATTATATTAATTGCAATTTGTATTTATTCCAGTGTTCCCGAACCACCACCACCACCCGCATATAAGCCTCCACCTCCACCCC